TTCCTAAATATTTATCATGGGCCAGATACTCTTTCTAATGCATGGATACAAACACCAGGCATCTAACCTCAAAAAGCTAAGTAGAATGTAGTTAGATGGGTTTCTCTAAAAAAATCTCAGTTATTCCTCTGATGAAAACTTTCACTAGCTTACCACTGCATAAAGAATAAAATCAAACATCTTTACCTAGAAGTCAATATCCTTTATAACTTAGCCCTTTGGTCCAAACAGTACACCTACCTTCCAATTCCTGGGCCTTCCAAGCATACTTCTCAATGTGTCTTTCCTTATGCCATTTCCTCAGTTTTAAGAACTGTATCAAATCTCTTCTGCATATCTGAACCCTAACAATCCTTTCAAGGCCCAGTTCAACTTGTCCATGAAGTCTAGGTAAGTCCTACAGCATAGATTTATACCATTCCTTTAGCAATTAACAAATGTGATGTCCTGTATCTTCTCATAGCCTTCACAATGTTCAACACAATGTCTTGCCTACAGAAAATGCACAGTAATTATCTTATTACCAGTTTACTAATTACCTTGGGTATCTAAAATGACTGGCCCATGCATGAGGACGGTGTGTCCTCTAGGGCCAGCCTCCCCAATTCCAACTCAGAGCTGTTCCATTGATCTGTAGTACTCAATCACTTTCAGCGGCTCGTTTACCAGTTAAATTTTGGTATAAAAGCAGAACTGAAGGGCTTTAAGTAACTTTACCATAGATCTGCAAAGTCCCATTCTAAGTTTAAAAAAATAATAATAAAGAACAAAAGAGCCCAGCTGGCATGGCTTGGTAGTTAAGCACTGACCTATGAACCAGGTGGTCAGGGTTCGATTCCCAGTCAGGGCACATGCCAGGTTGTGGGCTCGATCCCCAGTGTGGGACATGCAGGAGGCAGCCAATCAATGATTCTCTCTCTCATCATTGGTATTTCTATCTCTCTCTCCCTCTCCCTCTCCCTCTCCCTTCTTCCCTGAAATCAATAAAAACATATTTTAAAAAAAGAACAAAAGAAAGCCAAAAATGACAACTATATAGGGCTGAGATCAATGTGACAGCTCAAAGACTGGCCTGTATAATCGCTTCTGATTTAGGGTCTGTAGTTTTAAATAGCAAACAACTCTCCTGTCTCAAAAATCAACTGGGCTAAACTAGAGAAGTTTCTCTAAATATTTCAAAGGTTTTCTTCCCTTTTTGAATACCAAGGGAAAAGGAGGAACCCTCTGTCCCCTAAGGGAATGAGTTGTTTAGGGATAAAGTATTTCCAAAAAAAGAAAGCACTGCTGTTGCACTTACCATATTGTGGTTTAAGTATCTGCTTATGAACCTGTCTCTCCCATCAAACTATAAGCTCCTCAAGGGCAGGGAATCCAAGACTGGATATCTTGTCTTACTCATCTTTATATATCCTAAGTCTAACAGCCTGGCACACTGAGGGACTCAGTAAATGCTTTCTCAATTAATGAATGAATTCCACCTTAGGTCAAAATATGCTTAAAATGCCAACAGCCTGTTAAAAAGTAATGGATAGAGGTTAAATAATATATTCAAATGCCAACTGCATGTTAAAAAGTAAAGAAATATAGAAGTCACATACATTTTATATTTAAGCAGACTAAGCATAATCTATTGGCATTTTCTTTCTTCAAAATCATTTCCAACAGCTGACATATAAAATTTCCTAAGAGCGCTGGCCAGTGTAGCTGTTAGTTGAGCGTCATCCCATGAACCCAGAGGTCACTGGTTCGATTCCTGGTCAGGGCACATGCCCAGGTTTCGGGTTCCATCCCCAGTAGGGGGCTTGCAGGAGGCAGCCCATGGATATGTCTCTCTCTTCCTCTCTCTCCATTTTATCCCTGGTCTTATCAGTGTTTTCCATTTTCTAAATGGGATTAAAAGTGGGGGGGCGGGGGGGAGATTCTCCTTGATGCTCTCTCGGATCTTTCTCCAGTGTTCCTGCCTCAGTTTCAACTGATCCCTGCTTTTTTATTACCCTTTAACCCATAAAAAAAAAAAATCTGAAGAGCCAATGAGAGTGATCATCAGAGAATGGAAGTTTCAGAATCAGAGTGAGAGAGGGTGCAATGTACTTTAATCTGCCCCAACAATCATTAAAAATCATTGTTGAAATTAAAATGCACCATGAAAAGGCAGAGTACCACACACAGAGCAATATATATTATAGACAGGATGTCCCCAAAGTATGTATACACACTTTAACAGCTGAAAGCTCAATTGATGTTTCTTTTTCAGATTTAACCCATTAGAATAAATAATTATTCAAAGTGCATATACATTTTTGGGACACCCTGTATATATAAAATACACATATATGTATGTGTATATATATATGTATATAAAATTGGGGCTACGTATATTTTTTAGAGACATAAATATATGATACTGACACTGGGGGAAAAATGACTCTAGACTAAGCAGACCATTGGCCAAAAGAGGAAGGATATACACAGCTATACGATAGTGATTAAAAAGGAATATTCTTCTAAAATAGCACAGGTAATCAAGTCAAATACTGTTCAGAGTTTAAGAAAAATGCTCACAAAATAATGAGCTATTTACAATATAGTTCTCTCAAATACTCTATTTCTAGGAGTATATAAAGCAGCTTTGAAAAACACAAGGGAAATAGTACCAGTACTCATCTCTCCAATGATATATAAGAGTTTAAAACATACGCCAATTTTACTTAAATATATGAACTTATTAACAATCTGTTCATCATTAGGCTGATAATAAAAAACCCAAAACAAAGAAACAAAAAATCCAACAAGCCTAAACAAGCAGCCACACCTTTTAACCCTCTTTTAGTTATGATTTCAAAGCATTCCTAGTATGAATATGGTCTCTAAGCAGCAATTTGTTCTATTAAAAATAAGTGTTTTTTTAAAAATGATGAGTGTTTAAAAAGTCATGTTGTCCTCTGACCTAACAACCTATCTCAAAGACAATCAGGAACAGTTGAAAACATATATAAGAATGCTAACAGGAACATGTGTATCATACTGAAAAGCTAGAAGCAACATAAAATTCCATTAGAGGAGTATGCAGCTATTGAAATTAAAGAGCTATAATTAATGGCATTAAAGATAACACCTAGTGCCTAAACCGGTTTGGCTCAGTGGATAGAGCGTCAGCCTGCAGACTGAAGGGTCCCAGGTTCGATTCCGGTCAAGGGCATGTACCTGGGGGATGTGCAGGAGGCAGCTGATCGATGTTTCTCTCTCATCGATGTTTCTAGCTCTCTATCTCTCTCCCTTCTTCTCTGTAAAAAATCAATAAAATATATTAAAAAAAAAAAAGATAACACCTAGTAAGCTAAAAACAGGCTATAGAAGAGGACATAAAATAAAATTGCATAATATCTATTCACAAAATTCAGAAACATCTTGGAAGGATTAACTCTAAATGTCTGGATTTTGTGATATTTTTATATTTCCTCTGGGAAGAACATTTTCAGAAAAATCACAATGAGTCTGAATCACTTTAATAACAAATCTTTTTTTAAAAGATGATACTAACTTCAATAAATATATCCAGTAACTATATGCCCCATACTGTGTAGTTTAGAGTGTCTGAAAGGCAATCAGACACTATTCAGTGATAAATGCACATATACTTTGATTCAGCAATTCCACCTCTAAGTATTTACAATACAGCTACTTTCACACAAATGTGCAACACTTTTGTTCAAGAATATTTACAGCAGCATTGTTTGTATTGGATGTGACAGAACTGTCCATCAATAGAGAATAGATAAATAAATTATATACAATGAAGTACTGTGTAGCTATGAATCAGACTGAGGTAGCTATGTGTGTTGGAGTTGAATGACATCCAAGATAAATTGGAATTTTTTTTTTAAAACAGTATGTATCAACTAACAGAGGAAAGGTGAGATTGATATAGGGGCATATCCTTGTATTTGCATAGACTATCTCTAGGACACACACAAAAACAGTAAATAGTGGTCACGGGTGGGTTGGAGGTCTAGAAATCAGGGGTGATAGGACTTAATTTTCACTATAAACACTAAACCAATTTGTGCTGTTTGAATATTTTTTTACCATGTATGTATGCTACTTTTAAGTTTTAATAGTTTTTTTCATTAGACAGTGAATTATTTTGCTGCTATATAAATAGATGTATAAGAAAAATAGGTCTTCAAGTATAAAAATTGTAGTATCAGGACAGTTGTTTTTTAAGAATTTAAAAAAATTCTAAACTATCATTTGCTGTTTTAAATTTATTACAATTGCTGGAAATTATACTCCATTGTAAACCTTAACTTTTGTGGACAAAGGTTATTTACATTGTTGCTAGCCAACAAATCCACATTTGTTTAACCTAATCCTTGTTTTGCTCTCAGTATTGTTAGCAGTTTTAAAAAATCTGTTTTCTTTCTTGCTATATTTAATACATATTCTTTATTAAAAAAAATTTGGCCAAACAATAAATAGGGAATAAGGGAACAGATTTTTCTCCTTTTCCAGTGATACTTATCCTTCTAGGTCAGTTTGCCCTAGCCTTCCCTGACAGAATAACAAAAGAAATGCCGACCTAAGATAAACAAGATGACTCACTAAATATAGTTTTTACTCCAAGAGTGTTCTACAAAAATTAAAGCTAAGAGAAACATAATATATTGAAGTATATTCTGAGGAAGATGAAATACAAGCTAATGGCTCAGATCCAACTACCATTAACATGCTCTGTAACTTTGAAGAACGCATTTGCCAGCAATTAGGAGTTATTTGAAAAAGAGACAGAAAATGCTGCTTAACATAGTAACAGAGGTCTTTCTATTACACTTGTTCAATGTTATCAAATAACAGAGAAACATCAACAAGGTTATACTGGAAGGGATACCTAATCAAAACAAGTCAGTGTTGACTGACTCAACATCACTGCTTATATTTATGTACCAAACTTCCAGAAAATAAGTGGTAAACAAAAATTCAAATGAAAAAGCGAAACTCACCTTTAACACTCTTTCTATTAACATCTGCTCCCTTTTCAAGTAAATACTGCGCAATCTCTTTGTGTCCTTTGTAACATGAAATCATCAAGCAGGTATGCCCATGCCGGTTTGACACTTCCAAATCAGCTTTGTGTTCTACAAGGTACTTCACTATTTCCAAGTGGCCATCGAAGCAGGCAGCTCTTAGAGGGGTTGAATTGGTCAAAGTCGTGTTGTTCACAGATGCTCCATGATTTAACAGAGACTGGACCACCTTCAGATGTCCTGCGGCAGAAGCGGCCCACAAAGGGGGAGCCCCCTCGATGGTTTCGCCGTCAAAATTGACCGAGCCCCCGATTTCTATGGAGGCGCTGCACTGCTCCAGGAGGAACTCCACCATGTCCAGGTGCCCATACCTGGCCGCCATCAGGAGTGGCGTGGCCCCGTTCGTTTTCTCAGAGATCAGGGAGGAAATCTCCTCTTTGGATTTGCTGGCCAACAACTTGGTGAGAAGCCGGAGTTTGCCATCGCGAGCTGCGTTAAACACGGCTGTCTTCAGATCCATTTATGTCCAGGTGGGAGGCGGTGCTTTTATTTATCCCTCAATGCAAAGCTCAGCTCTTATCGACACAGGCACGAGTCACAGGAACCAAAGTTCACTTTTCATCACAGAACCCCAGGACGGATATCAAAAAAAAAACACAAAAAAACACGGAGAGTATGTTCTGTCCTGTTGCCTTCCGACATCTGACAACCAGAGCAACAAACTGGAGAAAGGAAGAAACAAAACAAAACAGTTTTGATTTTTTCATAGGTAAAAGCAAAAAAACACTGTTTTGGTTTTTTTCATCATCTCTACTCCTGTGGGGAGGAAAAGTCCTAGTTTAGGGGCTACCACGCCACCGACACCCCCCCACCCCCCACCGCCCAAAAGGTGAAAAAGAACACACAAAGGTACACACACCCCCGAACGGCTCGGGGGGAGGCGGACTCCTCTCTACATATGGTGAATGTAAGCACTAACAGGCGCCCGGCTTCTCGGCTCCTCTCTAGCCAAGCTTCGCTCTAGTTTGGTGCCGCACACGCCCGGGGAGAGTCCGACCGACAGGGGCGTGAGGCGCGGGTCCGGGACGGCGCCTTCTCCCGTCCGCAGGGCAGAGCCGGCCAAGGGCGCGATGCCGGGAGCCTCATGGTGGCCAGAAGGGGTGTCGTGGAGGAACAAAAAGTCAGACACCCACCCAGCCACGGGCCAGCCGGCGCCGAGCCCCCCCTCCGCAAGGCTCTCTCGCCTCCCAAAACTCCGAGAGGCTCTCAGGAAATCCGGCCGCCGCGGAGCTCCCTTCGCCCGCCCCATTTTGATCCCCCGCCCCCAAGGGATCGCAGGTCCCCATACCTCAGCCGCCCCTTCACCTCACAGAACCTTCACCTCGGCCTTTTCCGGACGCGGGCAGCCCCTCCCCAAGGTCCTCCACTGACCACGGCCCCCTCCCGGCGGGCGGACCGGCCGGCGGCCTCCAGCCCGCC